ATTCAAAATTTTTAATGATAATGACTCACCCTTAAAAAATTAACTGATTTTTTTTAATATTAATATAATTTTTTTTTTGTTTTAGTATTTTGAAGTTGACCAATTGTTAATATAAGCAATTAATGATTATAGATGATCTGCACCGTAACTCTCTTATCCCCCACATTCGGAGTGGATAACTACTATTTAAATATAGAAATATGTAATGATTTACATGTATAATGTGGCGCAACCATTACAATAAATTTAACCATGATGTAATATTTAGCGCATCACATGACTTCCGTAGTAAGTTCGTTCTAATGGTCAATATTAACGGGCAATTGGTTGGTCCACGGTTTACAATCTCACAATACAAACCTATCCACTTCAATAAGATTTCAAAAGTGCACCAATGGATTCAAATAATTGCTTGGAATATGTAATGATGTGATTGTTCCAGACTTGGATTCCAAGCAATCACTGGCAATTTTTTGTCTTGTATTTTTTGACATAATTAATTACAGAATTATATATCTTGGTTAAAATAAAAAATAAAAATAAACAAACATGATATTGCTATTTAATACTTTCCTCATGTGTGAATTCCTTTTTCCCTACATCCATCATGATGATTATTCAATGCATTTGATGTTGTCATTGACATAACAAACAATTGCATCACCTGGGTAGTAATAATACCAAGGCAATGTGGAAATGAAATTGTGCCTCCTCAGATCTCTGGGTTCACAATAATAATTATTTTACTTGATTATCAATTATGATTCCTTATGAATAATAAATCTGATGTTGATCACAGGTGTCAGATTTAATTATATTTCCTATCACAAACAAGCAATTAAGTATCATCCAGCACCATGGAATGTTTCTTCCACAGGTGAAAGAGTCTTAAACTGTTGGAAGTTTTGTGGACAAAAACTCCCATTATCTTCTCCTCAAACCAGGCTTGATTGTTACCATATGAACATTGATTGTTTATGAGAGCAAGCATTTGTGTGATGTTTGCTTTGTGTTACCACTACTAGCATAAAGTTGGTGTCTGCAACTTATTCAAAATTCTGCAACTTGGGAGTTACAGTCTAGGTTATTTTTTGTTGAGGAGCACACCTAGAGCTGCCTTTCTAAACTCCTGGCCATTTTTTAAACTATTTTGAAACCAGTTTCAAAGAATTTTGAAAATCTTCCAAACTAATGTTTGAGTTTCATAGCACAACTCTAAATACAAGCAAAATTTTTGACCTAGGGCAGGGGATTGACCATCAAAATCACCAAACCAATTTGGGTTGCATGTATAGTCTGAACAGGCAGTAACTACACAAAAGCAAAAAAAATAAGGAAATGACCAGACAAGAATTAAATGAAGTATGTGAAGATTTTGATCCAATTGGTTATAAGTTTACCCTTGGCTTGAAAAAAGTGAAGACAGTAATAGAGAGATTTTCTCAAAAAAATTATTTGTTGTATGGTGCAGGTCATCTAAAGACATCAAATGCTGTGCTGCACTGCCAAATCTTCAAATCCCAAAATAGTAATGATACTCTTTTGTGTCACAGGATTATAACATCACATGACTCAATCATTTTATCATATTCGTTAATTAGTAATATATAGCAATGTTACTATTGCTATTACGAATAATTCATAAATGGAAACATTATCCAGGGTCCTGGTAACAGTAAACAAGCATAATACTACAATAAATTAGATAAATTAGATAAATTTACTATATATATAATTAATGAATGAATTCTAACCAATGAAGGTGATAAATTATTGATTTATTATCAGATATTCATGATGTCAATATACATTAATACATTTTCAGGGACTCTTCTATGTGAACGATATTTTTTAACAGCATATATGGCAGCTTTACATGGTAATCCTAATCTATAGGCTGACATATACCTGTAGCTTCTTCTAGCAAACTTTCTAATTTTATTCACAGATACTGAATCTAATGCATCAGGGACTATTTGATTTAAGCCTGTCCAAGAATAATTACAATTTTGTCTAGCATATTGTTTAGCTGATCCCCAAAAACTTTCAATGAAATTTAACTCACAATGGTATTTAGGGTAAAAAATAATCTTATGACCTGCTTGTTCAACAATCTCCTCCAAAAGTGATTTTTGCTCCATAAAATCAGGCTCTGAAGACAATATTCTAGATGCACAACAATCAGCTTGACCATAATTTTTCTCCTTGCATTTTTTGCATATTTTTACCAGTCCTGGAACCCATAATCCTCTTTCTTCCAAAACAAGTTTTATTCCTTTTGGTTCCCCATTTGGCAAAACCATAGATTGAAACACCCCATTATGCATTATGGTGTCATGCATCTTAGGTTGTGCACTCCAGAACTTAAGTTCATTCTAGATACAACCAAGGCATATTTTGCATATGATGTATGGTTAGAGCTTTGATCAAAAGCAAATATAGCAACACAATCAGGAACCATTTGTTCAAAGATAGGTATTGCTTTCATTTTTAACTATTAAATATAGATACAATTTTGATTTAAATTAAATAACTCTTAGTTTATGGATAATAAATAAATAAATAATATATATATAGATCTTACTTGATCAACAAGATTATCACTTGTCCAATATCCATCACCATTGATCCCAGGTCTAATAATGGTACATGCATCATCTTCAGGAATTCTTTCATTCTCAGGTAAATTACTGTTATGTTCCTTTTCTACTGTCCTAAGCATAAACGTCCAATAGGTTCACATAAAAATTCATTAGCATGAAGGCTGGCACCTTTATTTTTTGGATGTAAAGGTTGCTCATTATTTGGCCCCCAAAACTTATCCAATCCATCATTAGAAAAGAATATAGATTCATCATGAGTTACCAATATATGAATCTTTTCATCAGAATTTAAGGATGGCCAAGTCACTTGTTCCATATTTTCACCATCAAAGATAGGCATGTACCTTTCATAAATTTTCATTTGATCTAAAAATTTTTCACAATAATCAACTACATCATCTCTTTCATGTCCATCAACATAAATGTCTTTTCTATATTTATTATAAGACCATCCCATTTGCTAAGCCATATATGTGCAGTCCTGTCACTAATTTTTTTTTCCTTCTCATATCCTAATGATGGAAGTATCACATCTGAAACATGATTAATAAAGTCATGAAGTCTAAAATTAACCTTTTTAGAATGTAAATATTGACTTATCTTAATTTGAATATCTTCATCATTTAATGCAGATTTGATCTTCTGATGTTTCCCATGTTTTGAGGAAACCAGCATTCTTTTTTTTTTGTATTGGGATGTCCAGGATCTTATTAATCTAGACATCCATGGGCCACGGTTTAAACTCTCTGCAAGCATCTTACTTACTTCCATTTTTGAACCACCATTCTGTACCAATCTCGAATATTGGGCAACATATCTTAATCTATTTTATTTTTTTTAATTTCTTCCTCAAGTTGCTCTAAAGTAAAATTAGATGAATCCTCTTCACTAAATTCATCAAAATCCTCTTGAATGAAGTTAGATGGGACTTCACTTGATTCATCTTCTAAATTCAAATTATCTTGTTTGACATTAGATGTGCTTGATTGTTCTGCATTTTGAACCTGTATGTTTAAATTTTTATTTTTAAAGTTTTGAATTTATTTATCTTTATGTAATGAATGATTTGTTATTTACCTGGAAAAAAGATTTAATGCTAGCTGTACCTTCAGCTACTTTTTTTAAAATGCTCTTATTTCTATAAAATGTTCTTGATGAAGAACCAGTATAAATTTGAGGTCTTCCTTCTGTTTTCCAAACATCTTTATCTTTACTTGCACTAATTAATTTATTAAATGCATCATCATCTAATCCTTCAAACATGCTTTCATTAAACCATTCATCACCAGAATCATCAGTCTCATAAATGAAATCATCATAATCAATTTCTTCTTCACTTGATGCAATTTTTTTATTCAATTCATTATCTGACTTTATTTTTTTAATATTTATAGCATCACTTAAATGTGCAGCTTGTTTATTTTTTCTTGGCATTTTTTTAATTTGTTAGTAATGTATTGTTTGTTGGTTACTTATGAAAATATATATATATATTAATATGACGTTGGTTTTCTGAACCAAATTTATAATTTGCTCTGGTCACAGTCTCGGTATCTTTTCCCAAATAGGAAGGATCATCTTGTGCCAAATTTCATTTTCGATAGTAAAATCGTCCAACTTCAAACCACTAAGGCTTTTTTTTTTTATTAATAAAATTGGAAAAAGCTCTCTATTTCATTGTTGCTTAGGTTCTAAAGATTGCAAAAATAGAAAGTTTTTTTCAATTTTATTAATAAAAAAAAAGCCTTAGCAATTTGAAGTTGCACAATTTTTTTGATGTCTTTAGATGACCTGCACTATATCAAATTTTTGACTATGCATGATTGTTCATCTGTTTCTTCATCTGATTGCACACTTAAAACAGAAAACAAATATTAAGACCATAAATTTTCTTATAAAAAAAAATTAATTAAAATTACTTACTCACTATCATCATCACCACAATTGCCACTGCTGATATCAGTTATAGTGACATTATTATTAACATCACAAGAATTTCATAATCTTTTCTTTTTTCTTTTTTCATTGTGCATTTGATTTTCAAGTTCTTGAACACGAACAAATGCAGCCTGAGATTCCAAAGGATTTAATTTGACTCCTTTTCTTACAATCACTCCAGTATTCACAATACTTTTTAAATTACTATTATTTTCAAATGAATTTTCAATTACATTTGATTTTCTTTTTATAGATTTATTTAATTGTTGAGTATTTTTAAGTGCCATAAAAAATGGCTCAGATTTTACAAATAAACCTGAGAAAGTTGAATTCACTATACCACGTAAATAAGCCACATTCTCATAAATGTTTAACCCTAAAAGAAAAGGAATTGAAAATCTGCCACTACAATCAATTTGACTTCGAAATTTGAATAAATTATCTTCAATTTTTGACTTTTTTGGTACAATAAAACTTGAATCACACCCATAATCCACCCATAAAAAAGCTAATTTGCAATCTTCAGTTTTTTGAATTTGAAACTTGTAAAAATGATTGGCATGTAGTGTATAAATGGTATAACCTGAAAGTAATGGAACCCAGGTTTTGGTACAATTTTCTGCCTGAAATCCTTCAACTTTTGCTAATAAATAAAATCCTTGATTTTCTTTATTTTCTTTATCAAAAATGGATAGATTACTGTGTTGAGGAAAGACTTCCAAAGAAACATTATCATCACGCAACAGATATGTATGACCTATTCTTCGAAGTAAAGTAAGATTTGGATGGTTTTCTTGCAGTTGTTTGTACCAAAGCATCTAGATTTTGAATGTGATAATTGTGAATTCTATATAAAAAAGCATAGGCTGAAGTAAAATTTTAAAAACATATAGTTAATAAACCTTGCTGTTATAACAAAATAAATAGATACAAGGTCATATTACATTCAAAGTCTGGTTAAATGATACACAGTTTTGGTTGAAGCAATCCATAATTGGTGGAAAAGGACCATGATTAATGACTTTTTTATGACTTACTATTAAGCGAAGACACAAATGTTTCGTAATAACACCCAAAGAAGTTTAAGTATATGAAACTTTGAGGTTTTTACTATTATTTTATTTGATTTTTGAAAATAAAATGAATGGGACTTCCCCTGATCACTTATACGTGAGTCATATGAACAAAGTATGACCATGCCGATCATAGTATAGTAGGTTACACTGGCCCCTATCCTTAAAAAGCAAATTTGAAGTTAATACTTTTCTATAAACAAATTATGTAATTTAAAAAAATAAAATTTAAAGGTTGGAAATTAGAACTTAACTATTGCATTTATTATTATTATGTAAAAAAAATTGTATGTTCCATATTAAAATAAATCAAGAATTATGTTTACAGTGTTCTTCTGCATCTTCATCAATAGTTATTACTTTAAGTCATTTCTGTTGGCTTTATCTTGAGGGATTGTCCTCTGCTTTTAATTTTTCAGGAAAATTAGAAGTAACAATTTGATAACTAGCAAGCATTTTATTCACTAAAATTAAAAAATAAAATAAATAAGTTAGTAAATGGAGTAAAAAACCAAATCATTTGAACTTCTGTTACAGAATTTCTTGAATTTAAACAAAAGTATACTTTGAGGAAAACAATAGATTTTTATAGATTTTTAACAGATTATGGAAGAGAAAATATTGTAGTATTTATTTAAATACAGTCAAACCTTGTCATAACGGATTTCGATCTAGTACAAATTTAGAAGGTATCTGCAGAAATATTGTATTTGATTGGATATTTCTGCAGATACCTTCTAAATTTGTACTAGATCGAAATCCGTTATGACAAGGTTTGACTGTATGTCAGTGCCCTTATCACTCGTACATTTCATATGGTTTATTTAAAATAATTAAAAGTGTATTTACAAATAAAATGATTACAAAATTTTCATGTCTGAATTCTCTAATGAACACTATAACTAAAACTAATACAAAAATAGCATAATGGGCGTTCGTAAATTTGGTAATATTTTCATCAATCATTATCACACAGAATTTTATAATGCGCACAATTAAATAAATTCAGATAATATGATAAATATAAACAGTAGTTATTATTTTATTATATGAAAAATAAAAAAAAACATTTGTCTAAGATAAAAGATTAACATTGTCTTTAAATCATCCTAAAAAGATTATTTTTTAATATTTATTATGGAAAAACTTCTTCTTTAGAAAGTCTTTGTAATTATATAAAAAATTGAAAATGAAGGCGTGAGGAATACTGATCATTTTTTTTTATTTTAAGGATTAATTGGGAAGATTTAATTTTAGAAAAATTTTTTTTGTTAGTTTTACTTTAAGATTTTTTTATGATCACTAGAAAAAGGATCACATTAACTACTACTATCATCAAATTCGTTGTTGTATTTTTATGGAATACGTTAAAAATAAGAAAAAAAAATTATGAATCGTAATTGCTATTTTAGGTTGGGTGAAAATTGATCCAAAAAAAACAATAAAAACATCAGCTTTTCGAAAGTGAAGAAACTGAACAAAGGGGCACCTATGTGCTATATATTTTTATTGTAACAATAAACCAAATTTATAAAACCAAATTTATTAATCTGATGTTTTGATGTATACTAACTTGCATACTCATACTTGCATAGGATCAAGGATTTTTCTTGGAGAAAGTGATTGGTGTTATAAATTGTAATGCATATGACTTTTTTTTTTAATTGAATAAATGTTTATATAAATTTTGTTTTCATGATTAAATTTAACAAATCGTTAAATACTGAGAAAAGTGAGTAGGTGAACCATCTTCTATAGAGTATTCGCTACATTCAGGCTATTAATGTATGAGAGTCTCGAAGGCCTTTGTTGAGATCTTGATTCTTCGAAACCTTCCTTTACTTCCTGAGCCAGTAACTAAAATTTTGTAATTTGCTATTAATATTTGTTAATGCAAATCATTTATTATAAATAGCAAGAATACTTACAGCCCACTTTATCACACATTCATAAAAGAATACAAAGTCCACCATCTCAGTGAAGTCACGTGGGAGGTTCGTATTATCCACTTCATTCAGAAAGAACTTTCCTTCTAAGATTAGAATACCATTAGTCGATAAAATGTTATAATATAGACAATAATATAAATCAAACATACATGACTTACCACAATAGTTTAAAAATTGTAGGTGAATTCTAAGGCGGAAACTTTGCCCACCAAAAACAGCAAGCATTTTGGGAAATCGTCGTCTACATTTTATGTTATCTTTTATTATATTTATAAAAATGTTTTGAAGATTGTAGGATATTTTTGAGGCATTTGAAATTTCTTTGCCATCATTAGTGTTTGGCTTCGATCCTTCCATATAAACTAGCTGAAATTTATCAGCTGTGTTTAGATACCCAATACCGTCAGAATATCCACGTTTTATATGATTTTTTGATCTGATTTCTCCAAATTCATAGCATATTGCTGAAATATACCAAAGCGACGCCTGTAGACACGGGTGGACAAAAGAGTTTAAGTGTAGTCTTTCTAATGCACCTAAGTTAAGTATAAGGTTGTGGGTGAAACCTCCTTATTAATTGCTGAAACCACGGCAAAAATATATTAAATCTTATCAAAAATCCTGTTGAAACTATGCCGAAATGGCGAAACCTCAAAATGCGAAACTCTGCCGAAACTCTAATAAACCTGCCGAAACCCTGCTGATTGATTTCTGGATGAGTTTTGGCAAGCAACCTTAATTCATAGCAGGGTTGGTGGCCCTGAAATTGCATTTGGACTCTGATGTTAATAAAATTAAATGGTTCGAATTTTGTTTGGTATGTTTTGTATAAATTAATCATTCCCAAATTTTCTGTTTCTTTAATTTTTTTAAATGGGGGCTTTTGCTCATATAACCCACCCTAGATTAAAAGGAGTGTAGCTTGATGAGAGTGTGTATCTTACAAGTATAAGGGTGGCAGTTCAATTTTGCCCACTCCTATTGTGAGAGTCACCATAATCACTGGCATCAAGGAGAAAGCTGTCAAATAAAATGGTTCAGGTTTTGCTTGGTATGTTATGCATAAATTAATTGTTTTCATAAATATTCTGTTTTTTGGTGATTTTTTATTTGACCAACTGAATTTGTTTTTTAATGGGAATGGGGCTATTGTGAGCAGGTATGCCATCAACAAAACAGCAACCCAGGACTCAAAACTTGGAATTCAGGGAAATCAAAAACAACAACTCAAGTTGCAATATTCCGAGTTGCAGATACCAACTTTATTCTAGAGAGGTATATCATACAGATGCCAACTCTTGTCAATGATCAATGCTCATATGGTGACAGTCAAGCCTGGTCTGAGAGGAAGATGTGGAAAGTTTTTGTCCAAAGCCTTCCAACAGAGGGCATCCTTACCTGTGGAAAAAAAATCTACAGTTATGAGGCATGCTTAATTGCACCCAAACTCATGTTGGTGATAGGAAAGTTTTAATTAAATCTGACACCTGTGATCAACATCAGATTTATTATTCATTCTTGTGAACCCTGAGGACTGCATTATTAAAAGTTTCATTTTCTGCATGATCTTGGTAGTATTTATTACTTGGGTGATGCAATTATTTGTTATGTCAATTACAACATAAAATGTATTGAATAATCAGGTATTCATGTACAAGTATTAATAA